AGACAGCATCATCAGAAGGAAAGTTGATAAAATAAATTACAAATGTTGTATTGTTCGATACATATGCGTACCGAACCGAAAGCACTGTATCGAACGGTTCAATATCGATACGAATATCGTTGCACCCCTAGTAGATATGTGAACGCACACATCTAGATATGTGTAGCTGTGACTTTATAAAAGTAAAAAATATTATTAATATACAGTATATGTGTAGATATGTGAACACACATATCTAACCAGCTAGTCACGTCGTATCAATTGAATGCATTTAGACATGTAAACGCGGTCATGTATTCCAGAAACTGCTGATCTACTGGGGATTTCCTGCACAGCCATATTTAGGGTTTACAGAGAATGGCCCAAAAAGAGAAAATACCCAGTGGCAGTTTTCTCTGTGCCTTTTTGATGCCAGAGGTCAGAGGAGAAGGGGCCGACTGCTCTGAGCTGATAGGGAGATAAGTTGTTATTTGTATTATTGTTATTACAACAAGGTATGCAGAAGAGAATCTCTGCAGATCTGCATCAAACCTCGATGCAGATGTGCTACAGCAGACTTCACTTCTGTGAACTAATAACGGGAAAATGAGGCTGCACTTCACACGGGCTCATCATAACTGGAGAGTAGAAGACTGGAAAAATGTTCTCTGCTGTGACTTCAGTTGCTGTGTTCAAATTATAGGGCCAGACTTTACTCATAAACATAGACAAACATAGATCCATCCATGATTAAGGCTGGTGAATGTGAAATGTAGTGTGGTATATTTTCTTGGCATACTTCTGAGTATAATTTAAACACCACAGAGAATCTGAGTGTTGTTGCTGACCATGTCCATCCCTTTATGACTATGGTATGCACATCATCTGATGTCTGCTCCTGGCAAGATAACACAATTACCACAAAAGCACAGATGCTCTCAAGCCGGTTTCTTGAACATGACAGCGAGTTCTCTGCATTCGAATGGCCTCTCTGCAATCCATTAGCTTGTGGTGGAACACGAGATTCTCATCATCGATCTACAGCTGACAAATCTGCAGCAACTGCGATGCTTTCATGTCAATATGGACCAAAATCTCTAAGGAATGTTTCCATCACTTTGTTGAAGCTATGCTATGAAAAACGAAGGAAAAAAGGGGCCTGAATGCTCTTTTTCTTATGCATTTTGGTCATTTCAGCCAGACCAGTGACTCCCCAGCACAGCCTTGGCCTTCCCAGTCAGCCTATTCAGTTTCTTGGTGTCACAGTTTCAGATGCTCCTACACCAGCAGATAACTGCAGAGGAAACCGGACTAGCAACACCAGATAAATCAAGTGAAGTTAACGTTATCATCATCCAGCAAAACTAATTCGGACCCCTCTGACACCTCACTGATGGTGCTGTTCTGTTCAGGACTATACATCCAAGCAAATGCTGACTTTTGTCTCTGTTTGGTTTATTATTCCCTCAAAGGGTGTGTGGACTCCATGATTATACATACTATGTGGTATTTGAATAAGACTTATAACTAAATTCTTTGTTTAGTCCTTTGTCTATTCTGATGAAACAGGCTCCACACATCAGAAGATGTATGTAATCTGCTCCATTATTAATAATTCCCCATATTAATGAGAAGAGTTTAAAGTAATCATTTACCACACAGTGGTACAGTTGTTTGTGATTCTGACATCATTAATTCATACTTATTCATAGCTATATACAATACCTAACCCTTTGTCAAACTGTATTATTTGTATGTATTGTTACGTTTATAAACCAGAGTAGAATATAAAATAAATTCTGAAATGCGATAACACGAGAACTGGTTGACAAAGTCCAAAGACATGCAGTTTGGTTCATTTTAAATTGTACATGTGAGTGCGCTCTGTCTCAAACCCCCGTGACCCAATAAAGACGGACTGCTCAGCTGGCTGTTTGTGGCTATATAAACATGCTGGGAACAGGGAAGTTGCAGAGCGCCCTCTGAGGACAGACTTTGCAACTTCAGCACCTATAACATGGTTGAAGGGTGTTTCTCCCACTTCTTCATCCTCTTCATTTGTCAGCTGATCAGCAAACAGCCATACTGGTCTGATAGCAAATCGGTCAGGCTCAGGAGGATGGTGGTGATAAAGTTAAGATAGATAAAGTTAGGGTTAAGTCTCCAGGAAGTAATTAATGTATGATTTTATGTGTGCTTTAACATCGTAGAAGAAACTTGCAAGCCGGGGAAACGCCACAGTCAGGGTCCAGGAGACGACATCTCGGATATAGAGCACCTGCTGGACGATCAGCCCATCAGTGAGTTCACCCTCGGGGTGCACCTGTATTTTACACCTGTCTAATTTGCAGCTTTAATCTAAGCCTGCCTCTTCCAGCTCCAAAGGCAAAGCGACAGAAGCAGGACGTCGGTGTGGTCAAGCGACTGTTCAACGCAGCACAAGTTCAAGAGAGCAAAGTCCCTTCACTGAGTGATGACATCACACCGCCATCCTCTCCAGAGCACTATGAGCCCTCTCACGCCATCAGGTAGTTTTTTTAAATGATTTGTTTAGCATCATTGAATTTGACCTGTTTTACTCAGAGACACCTTCAATGTGTTTTATTTATTTATGTTTTATTTTTACCTTGATTTTTACTTATTGAGCTCATTTGCTTTGTTATATTGTGGCGATTTTATTGAACTATTGTATTGAGATCAATAATAGACATGTATTATATTAACATTCATCTGCATCTCTTTCAATTGATACCGGAGCAAAAAGATGTTCCTAAAAATCCCAAACATTTCTAGCGGAAATACATTTTAATGCAGAAACTCACACACAAGTAAGATGCACTTAAAAACAATACATGACAGTCATTTGAAGCAAAGTGGTGAGTATTGCTGGGGGCACAGCGGCGCACAGGTGCCTGAGGAGCAGATGTAGCTGGTGCTGAATGCAGTCGTCTTTTTTCCATCATATTTAAGCAGTTTCTGTTTTTGTCCTTGATGGGATTGTTGTACGTGGAGATGGGCATAACAATAACCTGCACGATACAGTTATTTTAAAATCATACTTGTACAAAAGCGTGATTTCAGCCTTTAATATAAATCTGAGTCTTCTGAACATGTTTTGTGTTCCAGCTCTACCCCTGCTGTGCTGGATATCAGCGGCTTTGCTGAGATTCCACTGACTCCACAGCGACCTCCCACAGCGGCGCCGGCATCCCTGCGTGTGCTGAAGCGACCTCCTTTAGAGGGAGACTACATCAGCGTGACGGACTCGTCTGGGAATCGGGTGTACCTCAGACAGAAAGAGAACGCAGAGACAAAGGTTAAACGCCCCCCGGTTATTTATCCGTGAGGCTGAATGTCGCACAGGCAGCATGTGCAGCAGCTGCAGCTTCCAGAGTTTGGTTAATATTTCTATTTCTCTCTACATTTCCATGTGTCTCTTCAGACAGCAGACTCCAGAATAGTACCAAACTCCCAGGGTGGACTGGGGCTGCTGGCAGTGCCCATAGGACTGCTGAGAGAGCAAGAAGCAGACAGGGTGAGTGACTCATTACCTTCCCTGCACCCAGTGTTAAAAAATGCATCTACCAAGAATATTTTTTATCCACTAAAATTGTGTTCATTTAAAAAAAAGTGGATTTATATTGAAATCTATTAATAGAATTAATATTGACCTCAAAGATGACCTTAGATGTGCTTAAAGTATAAACTTAAAAGCAAATTAAGAAATCTCATCATCACGCTACTTACAGAGACCACGAAGTCCCGACCCTAACTCTGATTGGCTAGTGTTCTGTGTTAATCTAATGGCTAAATGCTAATAAGAAGATGAAGAAACCCAAGAAATAATCTTCACATATTCAGTTGTCGCAGCATCAGCTTTCCTCAAAGCTCAAAGAAGCATGAATGAAGAACACAAAGCGCAGCTTCAGTGGACAGCTTTCATGCTTTTTAACGCTCTGCTTCACTTTGTCATCGTTAACTTTTTTATTCTGCACAACAGGGGCTAAGTTGAAGGACTGGGAGATATAGAAGAGTAGCTTACTTAGCAGTTTTTCTACATGTACAGCTCTCATAGCTACAGCATGTAATAGAGGGACTTTTCATCTGCTCGTCTCGTTATGGAAGATCTAAGAATAAGAGCGTTTAGATTTCCAGTGTGACAAAAGCCTATAAATATAATTCATTTGAAAATGTGTGATATAATGTAGGCGCTGTAGATTACATTAATAGCAGAACATACAATTATTGTAAAGTCACATCAATGTCTCATGTTCCTTTGAAATCTTGCAGCGCCACCAACAGGTTGTGGAGGAATCGCAGCGTCTTACAGAGCTGTTAGCCAGGTAACTCACTTCCTGTTTCACTCACAGACATCAACATACTCATGTGGGGCTCAAAAGAGGACACAGACTGGGCTGGTTGTAAAATAACAAAAACAGAAAACATCAGCTGAGACTGATAAGATGGCGTGAGTGGTGGAGTGGTTAGCGGTGTCGCCTCACAGCAAGTTCTTGGTTTACATCCCACCTGATGTCCCTGAGTGGGTTTCCTCAGCCTTTCTCCCACAGTCCAAACACAAGCACGTTATGTAGTTTGTGATTCTATATGGGTCGTGTGATATGGGGTAGATGGAGTGGTTGAAGTGCACAGAATAAGTGCTGTGTGATCCATCCATCCATTATCTGCCGCTTATCTGGGGCACGGGAGTATCGGTCTCCCCAGCCACCTCTTCCAGCTTGCCTGGGGGGAAACCAAGAGACATCATTTCTCCAGCCTGTCCTGGCTCTGGTCCGAGGTCTTCTCTCAGTCTGATATACCCAAACCACATCAACAGGCTCCTTTTGATGCGGAGGAGTAACCACTCTGCTTTGACCTGTACAACTGAACTCCTCACCCCATCTCTAAGGGAGCATCAAGCCACCTGTTGGAAGAAGCTCATTTCCCTCTAATATCCACAATCTCATTCTTTTGAGACACATCAAGACTGAGTTTACATACACGAGCAGGAGTTTTAACTGCGTTTTTGTGTTTATGTCGCATTCCAGCAGTGTAAACGACGCGTTAGTTGAGTCTGAAAACCCAGAAGATGAAGAAAACGAGGATCCAGAGGACACAGAGGGCCGAGCATCTCGGTTGTGGGTGGACAGATTTTCACCGCGTCACTACACGGAGCTGCTCAGCGACGATGTAAGTGATGTGCAGTGTTTCTGTGTGACTTTATGGAGGAAGGCTTATTCTAAAGTCTTTGTGGAGGCGGCTTGTTGATGTGGCGCGTCTTGTGTCGTTCAGTTCACCAACCGCTGTCTGCTCAAGTGGCTGAAGCTGTGGGACACCGTAGTGTTTGGAAGAGAGAGGAAGTCCCGCCCTGCCCGATCCGACAGACAGGCTGCCAATCAGAAAGCATTTAAACCCAATCAAGGAAATCAGAATCAAAATCGCTTCAAGAGCAAGGTTGAGGTGACCGAGGAGCTGCTGGAGGCAGAACTGGACCAGTACAAACGACCCAAATTTAAGGTCTAAAAGCTGCACATCTGTCACATCTGTTTGCATTTGATTACCTGGCTTTTAGACACGGTGTGATTTATTTTGGCCTCTCTCCAGGTGGCGTTGCTATCCGGTCCTCCAGGTTTGGGGAAGACCACCCTGGCTCATGTCATTGCAAAGCATGCTGGGTACAACGTGGTTGAAATCAATGCCAGGTTAGGCACAATAATAATAAGTGAGCAGATAGTGGCAGTAAATCATGGAGACGGCAGGTTTACTGTCATCATCCTCCTTCACAACCTCACTTGGCGTTGTTGATGTTTGTGCAGTGACGATCGCAGCGCCGAGGTGTTCCAGAAACGCATCGACACAGCGACACAGATGAAGTCCGTTTTGGGAGCCAATGAGAGGCCGAACTGCCTCATTATCGATGAGATTGACGGAGCACCTGCGGTACACTCCTGCTTTAAATTGGTAAAGAGCAGCTAATTGACCGCAGCCGTTCTTAATGCTTTGCCCTTTGATGTGCTCCGCAGGCCGCCATCAACATACTGCTGGCAGTTCTGAACAGGAAAGACGGACACGGGAGTGAGGCTGGCGCGGAGACGGCGAAGAAGAAGAAGAAGAGGGAGTCCATCTTACTGCGACCAATCATCTGCATCTGTAACGACCTGTAAGAGAAACTGTGGCATTAACAGCAGAGTGGGAACTGTGAATACCTGTTATTTGTTTTTACTTTCTTTTTACTTCTTTATCGTTTTAAAGTCATCTGTTTCTTTTTAAGTTATGTCCCAGCTCTCCGGCCTCTCAGGCAGCAGGCTTTCCTCCTGGCTTTCCCACAGACTCAGCCTTCCCGCCTGGCACAGAGACTGGCAGAGGTCAGCATAGTCACAGATGCACGCACACATCTCGACACGCGCTGCTGATCCTTGTTTAAACGAAATCGCTGTTTGCAGATCTCACTCCGCCAGGGGCTGAAGGCAGACACGGGCACCCTGATGTCACTGTGCGAGAAGACCGACAACGACATCCGGTCCTGCATCAACACGCTGCAGGTGGGTGGCGCGGCTGAGAAGGAAAGCCCGGCAGATGCACAGCCAGTGTGAAGAATTCGGTGTAAACATGTGTTTGTGCTTCTGTCCAGTTCCTTCATAGTCGTGGCGTCAAGCAGCTGGACAGCAAGACGATTCAGAGCATCTCTGTGGGGCAGAAGGACCAGAACAAAGGCTTGTTCCATCTGTGGCAGGAAATCTTCCAGTTACCACGTACAAAACGGTACGGCGAGTTCCCCGAGACAGGCCAGCAGTCTGTCACATGGCTAACACAGAGAGAGAGAGGACGATTCACACCTATGTGTGTGAAAATTATGCAAATATCACTAAATAAATAGATAAACCTTGAAGATAATCGTAGCGCATATGAACTGAGCTTAGTATTAAAATGTCTTTTAAAGTCTTCAGTTGAAGCAGGTGAAAGTCGTAGGAAGCCTTGAAACGAGTCACTGTGTCTTTTCTTTTCCCTCCCTGAGCCTGATTCTGCCAGAGGTTTCTTCCTGCTAAAAGGGAGTTTTTCCTTCCCACTCTTGCCAAGTGCTTACTCACAGGCGGTCATGTGATTGCAGGGTCTCTACCTTACAATATAAAGCACCTTGAGGTGGCTGGTGTTATATAAATAAAACTGAATTGCCTGAAAAACAAACGACCGCCAGACCATCGTAAACAGTCATAAGATAATGTTAAATCTTTGGCACAAATAAAAGGTACAGCAGGTGTTTGAGGTGTGTAGAGGACCATATGTTGCAAATTACTGATAAATATTCATTATTTTCAGGAAACGTGTCGGTGAGGGGTTTGAGGACGGACCGGGTTCGGGAAGTGGAGCTCACAGGTTCCAGCACATCTTGCATCTGGCTTCGTCTAGTGGAGAATATGAAAAGGTTTCTCAGGTAATACAGGAAACTCTATGGGACCTGCTCTGCTCATTTCAAATTGCTTGTTATCTTATATCGGGCCCTCACGCCGCTCCTCAGCTCATCGGTTGTCTGAAACGAGCTTCTTTAACTCTTGCACCTTTAAACCGACTCTCTTCTGATTGGTTGCTTGTCATAAACAGAAGGTTTGAAAAGCAGGTGGGTGGGGCTTCTGAGTTTTTGGCTCACAGGCATTTCTTAACTCACACTGACCTCAATGTTTGAAACTTTAACCGTGCTTAATATTAGCAGTACAGAAAAGCTGAGGAGGAGCACTGACTCATGTGGAAGTTTCCAGAATATAAAGTAGTTCATGGTTCACTTTGTAATGTTGCGTTACATCTCTTTTCCTCAGGGTCTGTATGATAATTATCTGTCCATGCGTGTGAGGGACCCAAACCTCCAGAGCACGTGCGAGGCGCTGGATTGGCTGGCCTTCTCAGACAAGCTGAGCCACGTGATTCTGCACGGGCAGAACTTCTCTCTGATGAAATACCTGCCCTTCCTTTCCATCACATTTCACTTCCTGTTTGCCCACACGAACGTGCCCCGCATCAGCTATCCCCACAGCCAGCACGAGGTACGACTCTCCTACACACACCTGTGTAGCAGTGCGAAGGAAAAGTGATAAAAGGAGAAGAACACGTTTTTGTTTGGGGTTTTTTTAAGGCATCATTGCTGATCAGTCACTATTGTGTCCCGTCCAGGCCTCCTCCCGGCTCCTCAGCTGCAAGAACGCTCTGTCCACCATGTTGGCCGACACCCCAGCAAGCATCAGAGCGAGGATCAGTCAGCTCAGCCTGACCCTCGATATCCTCACCTTGCTTCTCGACATCATCTGTCCCAAACTACGGCCCGTATGTAAAAGCTTACATTGTAACCTTAGTACATGCCTGTATGTTCAGCCCAAACTCCAAAACTGTGCAAAATGTGCAGAATGCAAATATGATGATGCCTTTTTTTTTTTTAAACAAATCTATGGTTTTATGGTGCAGATCTTATAAACCTAAATTTTGCACATCAAACATTAAATTTGACAAAAAGCATTGTACATGTAGGACCTGAAATGCCAGGTTTTAGCCTCTGTGTCTGCATAGATAGATGTGGGTGGGTCATGATATCAAAGTTTCTTATTCTTCTTTCAGGTGAATCCACAGCTGTTCAGCAGCAGAGAGAAGGAGCAGATGCGTGAGCTGATCGACACCATGCTGGCATACAATCTCTCTTACAGGCAGGACCGCACTCCAGAGGGACAGTACACCTACGTGCTGGAGCCGTGAGTACACGCACACGTACGCACACTTGGCTGGACTCCACTGTACACTGGACTCATGCAGAGCTGATGTGTGTTTGAGGGGTGTTGAAGGTCACTGCTCTTGTCCACACTGTGGTTCTCTGCATGGAGGCTTAAGAGATTAATCCCCTTAACACCTGGTGGGCGTGTGTGTGTGTGTGTGATGGTCGTGGTTGAAGCAGGGTAGCAAGCAGTAAAGCCTCACCGTTGGATGCAGGTGAATGGAGGAGAGGATGGAAGGAGGGGCGGGTTTAAGTTAGGTTAGTAGGCAGTAAGTGACGAGGTGGCCTTTTGAAAGGTCGAGGAATGAAAGGATAAAAGAAGAAAAAGAGCATTTTTAACTTGAGAGACTTTTACTTAATGTTCACCCTCATTTTTGTGATTCTGAGGATGCCGGCGCCTGCTGCAGTTAGAATGGGATAACCAGCTTGTTACCTCAGCCATGCCGGCCCGTGTGGAGGAGCAGCGGGACGCCCAGGACGGCTCCTTTCTACAGGCTCGCTGTGACGAAGTGCTGGTCACCAACGACTGGGGCCTGCCTCTAGTGCTGGCTCTGCTGCTGCTGCTGCTGATCTACACCTTTCTGTACCTGCCCTCTCAAGCGCACCACAACTCCACTCTCTGATATCTCACGCATAAAAGGCACAGAGTGCAGCCGTGGATCTAAACATTTAACATCACAAACAGCGGATGCGCTCAGGCAGGACAAGATTATTTGATTGGACTGCTCTCTTTTTGGCCGCAGTTGGTGATTGGTCATGTCGGACGCTGTGAGCAGGAGGAGATGTGCAGGGAAGAAGAGTGGGAAAGATGAGGAGAGGTCATTTAAAATAAACCCTAGAACTGATGTCTGCTTTCATGCAGAAGACTGTGTGTCCTTATAAATCCCTAATATGTCCTAAAAGATTTTAGTAATATGAAGTTTAACCAGTGTTGTTCATTTTTATTGTTCGTTACAGAACTGCTGTTGAATTGTGTGGATTCAGATGTTAAAGATGATATCTGCAGATGTAGATGCTAATGATAACACGGTTGACATAACGCTATTCCACAATAAATAGCCGACTGAACCGTGTGACTGCTTTTATTGTATTTATTGGTCCACAGGGCTGTGAGTGAGAGTGTGTGTGTGTGTGGATTGAGTTGGAGATCAGCAGTAAGAGGATTAAAGTTTTAGAGAATGAGAGATTCTGGGTTTTATTCTGGGGGGGAAAAACCAAAACAACAACCACGGCACCAGAAGTGGAAGCTTTTTGTTATTGTTCGTCATCTAACAGGGTTCAGCCGAGTGTCAGTTGCATCACAAGTGCATTTGTGTTTACTGCGTGTAAACAACGAGCGTCTCGTTTGTTTGTGTTTACTGCGGGTTTCCAGGCGCGTCGAGGAGGTGGTGAGGTTTCCAGGCCTGCCTCCGCGCCGCCAGCTGACGTACCAGGCCAAACAAACCATCAGCAGAGAGATGGAGCAGGAGAAGATGAGGAGGGCCGAGCAACTGATGCTGCTGCGAAACCCAGCACCGGTGAGACTCGGGCACGCGTAGCACCTGGCCCCGCGCGTGCTAATTAACGTGACGTGTTTGTAATGCGCCGTGTCTGTGTGACGCAGAAAGCGGAGGACAAAAAGAGCGCCGGTCCTAAAGCAAGCAGGAACCACCAGCAGAGGCTGGAGAACATCGTCAAGCAGACCACAGTGGAGAGCAGGGTGAGGCGCACAAACACTTTGACACGCTGTTAGCTGCTGGAAAATCACTGCTGCTCTGGACCAACACTGCCTGATAATATGGTCTGATTTGTAGTTGTTATTTTTGGCCTGAACACAGAAAAAACACTTATTTTTTTCTTTTATTTAAATAATTTATTTGTTATTTTTTAACTTGAAAGTGCCCCCTCTTAACCTTTGATACAGTTCATGGGGGTGGGAGTGTATACCAGCTGACACCGGGGGGGAGGAGAAGCACTACCGTAGGAGAAAGCTTTATAAACCACATACAGGCTTCGTTTATTTGTTCAAAACTGATCTTAAATTTTCTCTAATTTCTGATTGGTCCACATTAGCTGCACAACATGTTTGCCTTTTGTTTTGGTGATGTTGTCATTAAAAAAAATCTGAAATAATCCGCTGGGTTTATTCTTTAATTCCTCAGATTATCATTTGGCACACTTTCATGGTGAAACGTTGTCTATTAGGAAGAACAACGTATTTCTGGCTGAAACCAAACGCAATATATTGGCACAAATACCTCACACCAGCTGTTAAGCATGGTGGTGGAGGGGTGATGGTTTGGGGTGGTTTTACAACCATAGGAAATGGTCACCTTGTAGTCACTGAGTCATGCAAACTCCTCTGAATGCCTTCAACCTCAATATTGCTGCTAAAGTTACTGAGTCATGAGGTGTGCTTAGTTTTTCGCAGCACTGCACAAAAGAAAAAAACACAAAGCTCAAGTTTCCACTGCCGGTAACATGTTTACTGTTATAGACTCTACTGTGTGTTCAGGGTGTGGTCACTGTGCTCCTCACACATGTGGGTGTTAGTTGGTGCCTGCTGGTGGAGCCAGAGTGGAGCAGCCTGTCTGCACTGAGCCTAGATGAGTTATAATAGTTCCCTCTAGAGGGCAGGAATGAGGCTAATAAGAAGCCACTGGGTCACAGTCCCCGATGGAGACAACTGGGAAATTAGGCTAATGAGAGAGAGAGTGTGTGTGCGATTGTTCACTGATATTGACCTCGTTATTGAGGACAAAGCGTTTGAAACTTCCTGTTTAACTTCATCCTTCTCATCACTTTGTTGTTGTGTTTGCGTCCTGCAGCCTGAGGTGGATTTCTTTGGTCGAGCTGTTGCCCCTAAACCCCAGAGACCACAGCCGTCATCAGACACAGGTACCTGACTTCATTTATCTCAAATGTGGAAAACACAGGCTGCTCTGATTTTTTTTTAATACTTAATGCCTCGAAGCACATCAGGTCCACACGCGCCAGAGGTAACAACTAATGTGTGTTATGTAACTTTGGTAATTAAGCGTTTTTGTTGCAGTCTGCAGGCAGAGCTGCTGGACTGCCAGCACTGTTACCACTTGCATTTATTATCAGATCTCTGTTAGCCAAATAAACTACTTTGCTACTATGCAATCCTTATATTTATGCATCAGCCAATAGAACAAACATACTTAATATTTATTTCCTAAAATGTACATTAATAATAGTGTCCAGCATTCCTCAAAATCAGTTTACTACATTTTCCTGAGATGTAGCAGTTGTAGCCCTTGGATGCTAATAAAACTCTTCAAGGTCATTTCTGAGCCTGCTGGTGCTTTTGAGTCAGTGGAGGCAACTGTGACTGCTGTTTGAATACATTAAATCTCCACCCCTCCTGCAGTTCTGGAAAAGTGCATCATCGTTAGCTCAGGACCCGTAACATGTCTCTGTGCATGTCTTATTTACCGTATGACCAAAAAGTCCCATTAAAAGCACTAACCCTCCTGAAGCCACACCATCAGGGGCATTGATGAGCAGTGTAATCAGGGTGGAAACGCAGACCTGTGGTCATTTGTAGGTCAAAGCAGGATTTATTTACTAAAACAGGCACAGCTCCACATCCTCTGTAATGCTTCCCAGACTTTTCTTTTGATTGGATCGGTTTGTGGAGAGGACTGAGAAGCACTAATTTGGATCTGGTGGCGTCAGCGGTATGCATCAGTACTTTAGATGGGTGCATAGTTGAATTATGCAATAATGTGACAACAGTGTGAGAGTGAAAGGATGGTATGGATTAAATGATTATCAGTCTGCAGCTTTCATCGTCTTTACAGAGCTTTATGTTGAGCCACAGATACACAGATATTTACGCCGATGGATCAGATTTTTATTGTACTTGCGGCTTCAGCCTCACTGCTCTCATAGTGTCGTTTTTACACTGCAGCAGGCGGCTGTTTTCACTGGAAGTCACCACTGTTAGCAAGTAGTTAGCATTTAGCTCCTCAGGAGAAGGAGGCCAAAAGTAGAGCTAACAGAACAAGTTCAAAATAAACTGTAAATGAACAGTGTTGTTGCCTAACTGCAAATTTTCCACTGGAAGTTGAAGGCTGATGATGTTCATAACTTATTTCCACCTCCTCAAGTCCTCCATCCAAAAAAAAAAGGAAAAAAAAAAGAATTCACCCTTAGTGTGAAACTGGAGCTAAACTAGTTACACAGATCAGCATCGGCTCTGTTGTGGGATTTATTGATGTGAAAGTCATTGGTTTGAGCTGAAATGACAGAAAACCCTTTGGTTTAAGAAACTTGGACTGGAAAATTTATATTAATTGAAGTATGAACTTTTTAATTCATTGTGAAAAAAGTCACCAGCTTAATCAAATATGAAAATACTTGGACCCGAATGAGTGCACTCAAAGCCTGTTTGTGTCTCCGCAGGTGAGAAGAGAGCAGATCTATCTATGGGGACAGCAGTGGGCAACAGTGACGTGTGGTTCCGGTTTAATGAGGGCATGTCCAACGCTGTCAGACGAAATGTTTACATCAGAGATCTGCTGTAGCGCGCGCACACACACGCGCACACACACGCGCACACACGCGCACACACGCTACTGTCTCATTGTCAGCTGCACTTGTTGTTGTATCATATGAAAGAATCTTAATCAATGCGTGTTAAATTCAAAACAGTCTTTATTTGGATTGACAGTGTAAAGAGCCAATAAAAAGGTGCTGTTCATCAAAACAAACCTCTAGAAAGCTACTCGGTGCTGCACACTCACACATACGCTCGTCTCCACAGAAAGCATTCAGAGAAAAGCGGTGATAGCACTGATCGTGTGTGTGAGCGAGCATGTGAGTTAGTGCAGTGCGTCATCCTTCAGTTTGTATGCATCCGTGATTGTGTGTGTGTGCGTGTGTGCGTATATATTTATATATATATGTGTGTGTGTGTGTGTGACCGCTAGAGAATCACACACTTGCCCTTCTCCACCCAGGGATTGGCTCTCATGAGCTCCGGATTCAAAAATGGATCTTCACAAACACATCCCTCGATCCATTTCACCAGCCTACAAAAAAAGATAAAAGAAAGAGAGAGTCGTACGGTCAGCAACGGGTCACACGCTGTACTGAACAGAGAGGGAACGAGTGTGTGTGTGTGTGCAGCAGGTGGACTCACTCAGTGACAGTGATGGAAGATTTCTCTCTGTTGATTGCCAGCTGATACTGAAGGCTTTCCACTTCGCGCTTCATCTGTGGGATGTCCCATTCCTCCATGATGCTACTGTTGTGTATACACACAAACACACACACGCAGATCAGAGACTGAAAGAGCACAGCTCTGCTACACAGATGATTAAAGCTTGTTTTTGTTTTGCAACTGCGCCAATTTTAGAGTGCTAAAAGAAGTAAAAGCAGCCGACTGATCCTGCTCCAGCTCCTTTTTGAAGCGGGAGTATTTTTGTTGTCGCTTCATCACACCTCGCGTAACTTCTGCTCTGAGTCATAATTCACTGCGTGGATAAGCTCTGCACAGAGAACCAGTGTTGTGTTATTTTCTAATTTTTCAAAATAAAACTCACGTTTAAAAAAAAAACTAATAAACAGACAACTTTTTGCAAACATTACTCTAACAGGTGTAAATTGCGCTCGTGTTGTGGACTATTTTCAGCTGTGGATGAATACGATTTTACTGGCTGTTGACCTCTGACTCCAGAAGGATGGTTTGTGTGGGATTAGGCATACAGCAGTGTCCATGTACATAATGGAGAAGCAGGTTTCAGAGAGACTGCGCAGTAAAATGATCGGAAGTAAAATAAGTAAAAGGGCTTGACTTAATTAATGAGGTGGGAGGATTTATCCAAATAATGATAGTATCGATACCAACACTGATACTGGCATCAGATTGATACTGCCGCAACAGGATGGATATTTTGTTTCTATTCTCTCTCTCTTTTTTTTAAAGAAAACATGCTTCAAACATGCGCTATGAAAAATGTCTCAACCTTTGTGTTGACTGTCGCATCTATTTTATTTATAGCCTAGAGCAAATTTCAGCAACGGCCAGGTCTTCAAAATACATAAAAAGCTTAAAGTTGTGTTATTGTTGTGTTAACGCGTTATTGTGGAAAGTTCAAAATCAGTGATTTGGTGATCATTAAAACGTGTGGAGAATTTGGCAAATCTATGATTCAACTCTTACATTATGCCACACTGCTCTGCCCTACACGAGCTGCCTTTATTGGTTAAAAGTATCGGTAATGGTATCGGCAATACTGGCTGTGTATTTACTTGGTATTGGATCGTACCAAAATTTGCAGTATGGGACAGCGCTAGTGGGAAAATATGACGCCACATTAAAATTGTGCTTTCCTCATCTTGTTAGGTTTATCCATTGTATTTGAATCCTGTTGACATGTAAAATGTTTATACTAGAGCAAGAATAAACTGATTCGTTTAGTGGAGACGGAAAGCACAAAGAAAAACAGTCACAGAGCGAATTTCTTAAAAGAAGAGCAGGTCATGAACTGTTTTCCATTTTTCTCTCTTGTTCCCAGAAAAAGGATCGAGTTACACCATTTAAATGTAAATAATCAGGGTAAAACGCGTTTTGTCTCTTTCTTAAGACACCTCAGGATATTTTAATATATTTAATGTTAGAAAACAGGTCTGGTGTTCTTATCTTATTTGTATTACTTGTGCCCTGCCCCACCCTGCCCCAGGCCACATTACAGCAGCGAGACACAGCCAGAGAGTTCAATCATGGATCGGTTAAGCCCTCTCTACTGGAAGCTGTCTCCCTCCTCCTGCTCTTCATCTTTTTAATGGATCTAAGTAGGTCGGCTGCCGGTGCCGGTTTCCACCACCAGCATCCATCCTGCTGCGCTTCTCCACCAGCCAACCGGTCCATGAAAAGGCCTTCATCATTTAATTACAGGCAATGCTACAGCCCCATCACGGTCTTCCTCCCATTTTACCGCAGCTTCTGTCCTCCCTCTCATAAAGGAAGGACATAAATGTACCTCGTCGTGAACGTGTGGTGACAGCGAGTGAATGACAAAGCCGCTCTTACCGTCAGGCCTACCGGGGAGAGGACCGCTGTTCGAGTGTGTGCGCTGCCGGGTGCAGACCGGGCTTCAGCGGCGGCGAGGACCGTTCAGGGCCGGGAGTCGGTGGCGTTTCACCGGTAGATGAGTACGGAGTCGGTGGGGGGAGGAGGCTGTGTGAGTATATGCGTGTGTGTGTGTCGGCTCTCCGCGGCGTAAAGGCACTCCTCTGCGCTCCTCCCCGGTAAAGCTGGATGCTTGCGGGGGCGGAGAGAAAAAAAAGCACCAGCGCCTGCTTTGACAGTCAAACGAGAGCCGGAGCAGACGCACCTGTATGGAAATCCGAGCACGCAATGAGCCTCAGCGCAGGCAGGGAAAACGCAAATGAGTCGCTCCGAAGGGAAAACACGCAGGGAGGTCATTTTCTATTCATGTGACCGGAGGCTATGCCTGTTTCTCCTCCGAGGCCCCCACAGAAAGTACCAGAACAGTACTTTGATTTTTTTCTTTACTCAGCTCTGGTACAGACCATCAAAAACACCTGACCTCTAATCTAAACACGTTCTCCTTCTCTCTAATGCTGCCATTGTTTTGACCACTAAACTTATTTTAACCTTCATCATGCGGATGGGTGCTTCATCTTTTCCCAGGACACTTTGACATCTGCATGGATTGAACAGCAGATTCTTAATTAGTCACCCTGCTGTACCTCCCAGTGCACAGCTGTGCTTTTAAATATCCAAAGACTGTCTAGTTAGTATGACTAGACTGCAGCTGTACCCACTTTGTTCTTTACTCTTAAGGTGGTGCACCTGCGGTATCAGTTTCTAAATCCTGCACCACCTAATAAAGTTTCATCTTATCTCTTATCTCATTCTTGAATTCACAAACTCATGGTGGATGAATTTGGCCTAAATCTTCATTTTTGGCTTTAATCAGGCATCAGAATTTCAATAGAATGACACCACCACAGAGACCATTCAGAAAACGAGAGTTTAACTTTTATTTGGCAAATTTGAAAAAGTATTTTTAAATAACTGCATAAAACAACATCCTCCTGTCCCATAAAATCATCTTTGCTGGGTTTGTCCTGTGAGCAGCTTCCCCATCTGGTGACGACATCTGAATACCACACCTGAAAGACACAAATACACATTCATGTGAGTGACAGAAGGAGAAAAGCAAAACAAGCCATGAGCTGGAAGTTCATATACACGAGGTGTTGAGTTTTTCTCGTCACTGGCTCTCCCACATGCATCGCATATAAACAGACTTACCGTAAAGAAACTAGATCACCATCTGCCATCCTGAGTCGGGCTGTAAACAAGAGGAGCAGCTCAGTTATTATTCACATAAAGACATTCGTAGCATCACATGGTATTACAGGATTACTCCAGAAGCCTCAGAGAAAAGCTGGAATCAGGAGCTGAAGCTCAGCTCTCATAGTAGGTGTCAGAAAAGATTGTTTAGTTTGTCATCACAGGCTGAAAATGTTCGAGTACCAGCATCTTATACAGACTCACCTGATTTCAGACCAGCATGAAAGCCTATTTCTCAGGACCATGTGGCAAAATACAGCCTACTTCCAGTCACTTTCCTCTCACCTAAAAAACAGTTGTTTTTAAAGATGAAGGCAACGTGACAATTCATAAAAAATTTATCATAAATAACTGAGCCTCAGAGAAAAGCTAGAATCAGGAGCTGGAGTTCAGCTCTCATAGTAGGTGTCAGAAAAGTTTATTTAGTTTGTCGTCACAGGCTGGAACCGGTTCGTTTGTTAAGAGAAGAAGAAAGAAGAAAAAAAGGCTCACCGGCTGTTTTCTTTTTGCTCTGCTTTCATCTCCAGGTGATCACATTGTTCTCTGACTGCATTCAGCCAGCCTTCAGTCTGCTAAACAGCCCTGTGCATTCTCCAGCCTCTGCACTGTCATCCAATCCCACCGTGAAGGCTGAAAAACAATTAAGACACAAACACAATGATCTTAATCATGAGCAAAAGGCACTTCATGCGCTTTGGAAATTGATTACTGGAGCCTCAAATGACTTGCAAATCTTGCTTTGTTGTAGCAAAACAGGCTGAAAGGCACATTTGTAAAGGTCGCACGGCAGAAGGAGCTTTTTATTTTAACAGAGACAAATCCAAACGCCCCCCAAAACCCTTTAACCAACCGCTACGAGTGTGTACAACCGAGACTATGTGTGTAGTAATTCAGAAACTGTGTCATGAGTTTGTCCAGCAGTGTTGCTCAGACTGTGTCTGCAACATGTAGCATAAACTGTATATAAAAGGAGGACACAGTCAGTGACACTTTGCCTTTATGACACCTCAAGCAAAAGATTTCTGGCATTACCATTACTATTATTATTATTAATAATAATACATTTTTAAACCAGACACTCCCAAATTTCCCCTTGTGGGACAATTAAAGGATTATTCTATTCTTATTCTTTGTAAATAGCACATCTGACTGTGAGACTCACAGGCCCATTATACTCGCCCTCATTTGCTAAAGTGTCGTCACATGCCACACTTTGGCATTGTGTCAGCTGGTTGGCACATCTCAATTTTTTTTTAAGCCTCACATGAGAGCTACCGCCGCTGTGTTGAAAATCTGAGTGTATGATCGTGTCACTGTTAATAATGAAATAAAACCCTTCTCTGCTTCCAGTGTTGATGTCTACACCCACGGTGTAGCAGTGGCAACATTGCCGTGTGTACTCATACCCTTGGTGTTGGTGTAAATGCTACAGAGCTGTGGCGACATCACCATTTGAGCACCACATAACCAATGCAGCAAGCATAAAGGGGCCCAAGCAGGTCCACTGTAAAGCATATCCTGCTTCATCAGGTTTATTAGCAATGAAACAAATTCTTCAGGAAAATGTTTGCTTCTTTCCTCTGACCTCAGTAATGTCATTTTTGCATAGATGTCTAGAAAGCTGTTTACCCCCTGCTGACAATTAGGCAAAAGTGCAGCTCTAAGGCATTTAATAACGTTCAGGCGCCAATGTTATGTCCATCTTTTATATACAGTCTATGACATGTATCAGGCTAAACACACAGCTGAGCATTCATACACAGAAAGAATGCATTAATTAAATGTGTAATGAGTGAATCAGGGAATCTTTTACTTTGCGCAGAATTGCTTAAAATATTTGTTGCAGAATTGAACAACTGGTTCCACAAAGACGTGAAAACCGTGACCCTTAAAGTAATTTTGAAGAATAGCTAAATGGATCCGTCATTTAACTAAAGTGTTGCTTAATCCAGTGAATGCACTTTAAAAATCGGAGCACAAGTTCTACTTTATCGCCACATGGTTGCACGTGCTTGCGATGTAAGTCGCTGTACACTTCCTCCACGTGCAGACCCAGTACTCACCTCGTTCACTCTTAACCGCTTTCCTTTGAAGTATTTAGCGAAGCAGACCAGATCGTTTCGGCCTTTTTTGCTTCCATGTTGTGTGTTTATAGTATATAGTCTTCAAAGGTCCATCGTCTGCTCGGGCTGAGAAGGAAAAGACCTGCATGCCCGCCTGAAGTCCCTCACATACCCTCTCAGGGTTAAAGCCCCTCCCCCGTGTCCTATCATTTCCGGGCTAACTGTTAGCTGCAGAGCTAGCTTAATTGTTTCTGCTGGGGGGGGGGTTTCGTTTTTTTTGTCCCTGTTTTTGTTTACTGGGTCTTCATTGATATGCGGGCATAAGAACAACAGTTATTGTAAACTGTAATTAGAAACAAAGTTAATGCTGTCAGCATGTTTCAGATGCGCAAGGTCCAAGGCATCATGGGACTTGTAGTTCCTCGTGGTCAACGAACCCTTTCAACCCTGAACCATTATAACTGCCATAAAATCCTTTTCTTACTTTCTTTCTTTTTTTAAATTGAGTGTTTATTGAAACTTCTGACTTTTTATAATCATTTGCTACATCTGGCATTTTTCTTTTTTTGGAAATTTATTAGGAATTTCAGGCAGGAAATTAAGAAAATTCAAGTATCACTAGTTAATAGTTTTTGAAAAAAAAAAAAAAAAAAAAAAAAAAAAAAA